CACACCGAGGAAGTTTCTGTCCTGATTTTCAGTTCAGTCACTCAGTCGTGTCCAACTCTTTGTGACCCCATGGACTGCAGCACGCCAGGCCTCCCTGTCCATCACCAACTCCCAGAGTTTACTGAAACTCCTGTCCATTGAGTCGGTGATGCCATCCAACCATCTCATCCTCTGTCATCCCCTTCTCCTCCCCGCCTCAATCTTTCCCAGCATCAGGGTCTTTTCAAGTCAGTTCTTCGCATCAGGTGGCCAAAGCATTGGAGTTTCCGCTTCAAACATCAGTCCTTTCAATGAATATTCAGGACTAATTTCCTTTAGGATTGACTGGTTGGATCTCCCTGCAGTCTGAGGGACTCTCAAGAGTCTTCTCCAACATCACAGTTCAAAAGCATCAATTCTTTGGTGCTCAGTTTTCTTTATAGTCCAACTCTCACATTCATACATGACTACTGGAAAAACCGTAACCTTGACTAGACGGACCTTTGTTGGCAAAGGAATGAATGTCTCTGCTTTTTAATATGCTATCTAGGTTGGTCATAACTTTCCTTCCAAGGAGTAAGCATCTTGTTATTTCATGGCTGCAATCAATCTGCAGTGATTTTGGAGCCCAGAAAAATAAAGTCTCTCACTGTTTCTACTGTTTCTCCATCTATTTCCCATGAATTGATGGGACTGGATGCCATGATCTTAGTTTTCTGAATGTTGAACATTAAGCCAACTTTTTCAATCTCTTTCACTTTCATCAAGAGACTCTTTAGTTCTTCTTCACTTTCTGCCATTTTACCATTTACCAATTTTATCATTTTACCAATGAGGAAACCGAAGCTCAGAAAAAAGTAGGATAACATCTTCAAAAACACCTAGACTGTGCTCCTTCAGCTAAGTGTTGAGGCTTCAAATATTACAGGAAAGCCATCTCAGGACGTGTCAGATCTCAGCAAGCATTTACTCGCACTGCTGCTGTTCAGTCCGATGCTGAGACCCCGTGGACTGCCCGTGGAAGGACTGCCCGCTTGGCCTGGCCCTGACGCTGAAGCCTGTGCGTTAGCTCACGGGGCACCAGGGCCGATGACCGGCACCCTTCAGTCCCTTGCGCAGGGAGTGGCGCTGCCTGTAGTCTGGCTCAGAGACTCACGTTTGGAGGGCCAGAGTCACAGCTGGCTACCGCATCCTTGTTCATCGATGTGGCAGGAGATACTCCATTTCACGCCACCTGTGAAATGACTGTAAGAGAAAGGAGTTAACCCATCCCCCTGCCTGATATTTGCCATTCTAGGAGACGTTTACAAAAATGGCATGGTTTTTACCTTGTTTTCTCCCCTCCCCCCATCTCTGATCCATAAAACAATCTGGCATCTAGGCCCCAACAAGATGGTTAGTTTGAGACTGTAGTTTGCCACCTTCTCGGTCAGCTGGCTCTCCAATAAAGTCATATTTCTTGCGTCAATGTCTTGTCTCTTAGATTTATTGGCCTATCATGAGACCAGCAGGGCAAGCTTGGACTCGGTAACAGTTTCACTTTCTGTGGCCTCAGTTACCTGAGACTAACTATGGCCAGAAAATACTAAGTGGAAAATTCTAGAAATTAACAATGTATAACTTCAGAGCTGCATGCCATTCTGAGTAGTGTGTTGAAATCTCACACTGTCCCCTTCTAGCCAGCCTAGGGTGGGAATCACCCCTTTGTTCAGTATACCCAAGCTGTACGTGCCGCTCACCTGTTACTGTAGGAGGAAGTACAGAACGTGTTTGTATGGGGTTTGGTACTGTCCCTGGTTCCAGGCATCCACTGGGAGTCTTGGAACATTTCCCCCAGGAACCAGGGGGGAACTACTGTCCTGTCTCCTTGGCAGCCAAAGTGAATTTCTTTTAGTTCCCCCAAAAGCACAAGGCACATTTCACCTCTGGACACGGATGATGATGTTCTTTTTGTCTCAGATCTTTTCCCCACTGCTATTATTCCTTGCCTAGCTGGATCTTTTATTATTTATTTATTTGCACTCAGGCCCTAATGAAATTTCATGTTCTTTTCAATTTCGATTTCCATCTCAAATCAGCAGGTCTTATTGATAGCACTGATTCCACTGGTGGAAGACCTCTGTGGCTGGGAGATGATGCCAGTCCATCGAATAATCAATGACCAATAAGATTCCCGTGTTTGCGAATGTGAACAGAGACATGGAGTCAGTAACCAAGGAAGTGCAAGGGGGTAGGATTGAGGAGATGCAGCTGCAGGGTGGTGGGGCTGCAGGACCACAGACGGGATGGGGAGACTGGGGTGGGACAGGCAGACAAGAGCAGAGGTGAGAGGTGCCTGTGGGCCTTAGAAGGCTGGAGCCATTTCCTGAGACTGATGGAATCAATCGTTCACCAGGAATACATTGACCCTCTCTGTATTTAACCCTTGTTTTAGGGGTTGTACTGCTAAACATATGTAGTCTTGATGTTCACTGAGCTTTAATTCTGGATGGGGATGTGTGTGCTTAATTTCTCAGTCATGTGCGACTCTTTGGACTGGAGCGCAGCAGGCTCCTCTTTCCATGGGATTTCCCGGCAAGAATACTGGACTGGGTAGCCATTTCCTTTTCCGGGGGATCTTCCTGATCCAGGGATTGAATCTGTGTATCCTGCACTGCAGGTAGAATCTTTAGCCACTGAGCCATACGGATGCTAAAATACATAAACTATATAACACATTAGATGGTAGTAAGAGCAGTCCCATCACTTCATGGCAAATAGATGGAGAAATAGTGGGAACAGTGGCTGACTTTATTTTTCTGGGCTCCAAAATCACTGCAGTTGGTGATTGCAGCCATGAAATTAAAAGACGCTTACTCCTTGGAAGGAAAGTTATGACCAACCTAGACAGCATATTAAGAAGCAGAGACATTACTTTGCCAACAAAGGTCCGTCTAGTCAAGGCTATGGTTTTTCCGGTGGTCATGTATGGATGTGAGAGTTGGACTGTGAAGAAAGCTGAGCACCGAAGAATTGATGCTTTTGAACTGTGGTGCTGGAGAAGACTCTTGAGAGTCCCCTGGACTGCAAGGAGATCCAACCAGTCCCTCCTACAGGAGATCAGTCCTGGGTGTTCATTGGAAGGACTGATGTTTGAAGCTGAAACTCCAGTACTTTGGCCACCTGATGCAAAGAGCTGACTCATTGGAAAAGACCCTGATGCTGGGAGGGATCGAGGGCAGGAGGAGAAGGGGACAACAGAGGATGAGATGGCTGGATGGCATCACCGACTCAATGGACATGGGTTTGGGTGGACTCTGGGAGTTGATGATGGACAGGGAGGCCCGGCGTGCTGTGGTCCATGGGGTCGCAGAGTCGGACACGACTGAGCAACTGAACTGAACTGGACTGAAGAGCAGTGCGGGCAAAGCAGGAGGAGATATCTGGAAATGGAGGCGACGGCGGTTTTTTTAAAACGGTTTAATGTAATTTGCTTCACTATGAAGATGACATTTGAACAAAGGCCCAGAAGGGCTGAGTGAGAGGAGTGGGGAAGACAAAACACTTCGTCCTGTGTTGCAGAAATTCTCTCTTGGGAACAGAATGAGTTCTGAGCTAGAATAAGGCCCGCTGGCATTAATACCATCCTCTATAGGGAAGTGGCTTGTTAGAAAGTTCATATTTACCCTGTGATGAGACATGAAAATGTTTCTGAGGTTTTCCCCTAATCTACAAAATAATGCAAATTTGCTGGCATTTTCTGATGAAGAGCAAAAGCTTTAGTTAGGATTTGAACCAGTGGCTCCAGGGACTGGCAATATCATTAAGTCAGATTTAAATCTCTTTAAGCCAGGTGCTTAATCCAGTAAATCCAGCCTTTAGTTTGCTAAGCTACCTTTCTGCGCCTGCTTAGGGAAATGATGTATGTTGGCTCCCAAAGGTTTTCTTTAAGTCAGAGCCAAGTGGAAGTCAGATGCCCCTGCAGCCTGCTGTGAATAAGAACGTGAATGCTTTGGTTCTGCTGGAATATGATTGTGGCAGAAGGCATGGCAGAAGTAGAGTTGCCTGGAATCTGATTTGGTTCATGGTGTCATTTTCATACTGTTATATAGGTCTATGATAGTCACTGGCTATGGAGTAGAGGGGAGAGGAAAAATCAGTGTACTTACAGATTTTGCTCTTTGGAAATCGTTGTTCACCTAACGTGCACCCTGCTCCCCGACTCTCAGTTTTATGTTTTCTTTTCTAATGTTTATTTATTTATTGAGGCTGAGGTGGGTCGGTTGCTGGGTGGGCTCTCCCCTAGTGAGGTGAGTGGGAGCCTCTCGCATTGTGGGGCTCCTCCCGTGGCGGCGTCTCTCCAAGCAGAGCACAGGTTCTGGGGCCCGCGGGCATCTCTGATTCTGACCCGCGGGCTTGGCGCTTGCGGCTCCCGGCTCTGGAGCGCCGGCCCGGTGGTGGTGGCGCTCAGGCTGAGCTGTTCCCTGGCGTGTGGGATCTTCCCGGACAAGGGACTGAGCTCACGCCTCCTGCGTTGGCTGCATTGGGTGGGTTCTTATCCACTGAGCCACCGGGGAACCCCTCAGCTTTCTCGTTTTGTTATAGCCACACTTTCCGGGAAACAAACTCACTCAGAAGGACAATGCAGATAGTGAGTGCAGTTTGTTACACTGGTGGGCCCAAGGCAGAGTCTCCTCTTAGCCAAGGGCCCTGACCAGCATTTGTGAAAATCTTTTATACCCCATGTGTACGTGTCCAAACCCACTACCCCAATCCCTTAATGCTTACAAAGGAAGGGTAAATACAATCCCAATAACCCCATCATTCACGTGTTATGTGTTCAAACAGTTAATAATCAATAAGCCCACGGTTACATTCCAACCAGTTAATAACCGATAAGCCTGTGCTTACATTCTGATAGATAGTGTCCGGAGGCAGGAGTGATTAGTGTCTGTTTTCTCTTAGGTGATGAGTAACCTGGATGTGATCTTCAAGGTTCCCCTGTCCAGAGGGGGCTTATCCTTCCATTGTCGTTCCCACAGGCACTAAGCGGAGAGTTCAGAGTCCACTGGAGAGGCGGCCGAGCACGATCAGCGCGGACAGGCCTCAGTTGGAGTCCAGGCCCTATGCATTCCTTCTTCAGTTTGACTAACACGTGATACATGTGTGTTTGAGTTATAGTATAGGAGGGATCACAGACACTTGCAGGGGAACCTGCAGTCAGCCTAACTCAGTGAAGCAGTCAGATAGAAGGAAACAGACACTGAAGTGTTACCAAGCCCAAGCTCGCTCTGCTCACTGCATGGCAGGCCAGTGCCTCCACGAGATGAGGTGTTGAGGCGAGAACATGACTTTATTCAGAAAGCCGACTGACAGAGAAGGCGGCAGGCCAGTGTCTCAGAGTGACCATCGTGCCTGGGGCTTCATGCCGGGCTCTTTTACAGTCAGAGAGAGGGAAGCAGTGAGGAGCTGAAGCAAAGGCAGAAGGGGGCAGAGGCAGCGGGTGTAACACGAAAGGGAGGGAGAGGGCCAGGGAAGTGGGCTGAAGGGTCTTCAGTCTTCTGTCTCCAGGAGTGGCCAGCCATGGGAAGGCGCGTGTTCATCTGCAGCTGCTCACAGGTGGGCTCAGTGGTGACGAACCCGCCTGCCAATGCGGGAGGCCCAGGTTCAATCCCTGGGGTGGGAAGATGCCCTGGAGCAGGAAATCACAACCCAGTCCAGTATCCTTGCCTGGAGAAGACTGGTGGGCTACAATCCATGGGGTCACAGAAGAGTCAGACATGACTTGGCGACTAAACAGCAGACCCAGGTGGGCAGGGTCAGGCTCTCCCTGGGTTGAACAAAGGCACTTCTGTTTACAGTCAGGAAGAGGAGCAGGGTCCTCTGAGGCAGGCTGTTAGGGATGATTACAATAACAAAAGCAGCAACAAAAAAGCCAAAGAAACAGTTTTCAATACAGAGTCAGAATTGGCTTCTTCTCTGCAACTGAATTGCAAACTGACATCATCTTTTAAGCCCAGCCGGAGAGTTTAACAAAGTGCCCTGTGCCTTCACAGTGTATGCCTGTTGGCCAATTTCAGGATGAGGACAGCGGGATTCTGTTTTCAGTTCCTAAAACCGACCCTCATTAACTATGTGACTTTGAGATTTCTTAAGCCTTAGTTTCTCCTTCTCTGAAGTGGGTGTAATTTCTTGCAGAGTTTAGTTGCACAGGTCCAGTGAGGTGATGCCTTGTCAAATGTTAAGCACAGACCACTGAATGTGTGCTAAGTTGCTTCAGTCGTGTCCAGCTCTTTGCGACCCCATGGACTGTAGCCCACCAGGCTCCTGGGCCATGGCATTCTCCAGGCAAGAAGACTGATGTGGGTTTCCACACCCTCCTCCAGGAGATCTTCCTGACTCGGGTGGAACTCACATTTCCTGCATTGGCAGACGGGTTCTTTACCACTAGTGCCACCTGGGAAGACCCCTGACCAATATAAGCAGTTAATAAATGATGAATTTCATTATTTTCATTAAAATTGGTGTTCATTATTTACAACACACCATAAGAAAGATTTGTTCCTTATTGAAAATTGTACATTATCTGGAGCAAACCTTTTGTGCTGATTTTGATTTTATGGGATTTAGTCTACAACTCTGTAATTGTAAATAACCTAAGCAATACGAAATAATTCCTGTCCGTTGATAGGTAAATGAATTTTGCTCCATTCCCAGTCAAAGCTAGTTTTGGCACCCATTTTTAATTAATTTTAATGTTTTACTTCTTATATTTGTGCTGCTTTGAATTCTCCATTGAACTGGTTTATCTGCCTGCTTTGCTCGTTTAACCAATGGATATTAAATAAAATCTGTAATGCAGGCTGATTTTATATCTGTATGAGATTCATGATTTTACCTGTTCTATAAAATTTTCCTTTAATGGTATAAAAAACTATTCAAAGGATTGTGAGTGAGAAAAGGAATCTTTGAGACCTGGGAGATCTGACTGAGATGTAGCCTTGCTGGGCACAGAAAACAGATTCGGTAGTAGATGTGGTAGGATTAAGTCCCCAGTGAAGGACATAAAACGTGAGTTTAAGGAACCACTCTACCCTGGTGTTGATGAGTGTGTTCCACTGAGGAGGCCATTCAGTAGATCAGAATTACTGGAATTTCTTTCCTCCCTCTTTACTTACTTCAGAGTACTAAGCCACTGAACAGCAGAAAAACATTGGACATTCCCAGTAAAGTCCTTCTCGACATAAATCGATGAAGTGAGCAGCAGTCACCACCGCAGAAGCAGGCGTTTGTCTGTGTTCCTCCCGTCAAGGGACCGCACGTTGATGATTCTGTCATTCTCTGCCACATGGGACCTAAAATGTATTAGGGGTGAGGTATCTATATACTGAATAAATGCAGAAATACGTTAATTTGTCTGGTAAAAGCAAATGCTTTACTAATGAGCATTCAGTTGCCAATAATATGAACACAGCTTAAAATATGTTCATGAGTGTATTGTCAAAGAAAAAATAATATTCATGACAGTTGTTAGCGATGATCAGGAAGACAATCAAGGGGTCTGACGGATGGGTGTGGGGACCACAGCCAGGGGGTCTTGGCAGGGAAGATGGACTCGACTCCAGATACACTGTGGCAAAGTGAGAACTTACCGCACAGGGGCAGGGCGGGGACCGGATGGGAAATCACTGAGAGGAGGCGCCAGGGAAGAGGGAGCGGTGGTCGTCCTTGTGGTTCAGCCACGAAGTCACGTCCGACTCTGAGACTCCATGGACAGTAGCACGCCAGGCTCCTCTGTCTCCGCTATCTCCTGGAGTTTGTTCTGATTCATGTCCATTGAGTCGGTGATGCCAACCAACCATCTCATCCTCTGTCGTCCCCTTCTCCTGCCCTCAATCTCTCCCAGCATCAGGGGCTTTTCCAGTGAGTCAGTCGGCTTTCCCATCAGGTGGCCAAAAGATTGGAGTTTCAGCTTTAGCGTCAGTCCTTTCAGTGAATATTCAGAGTTGATCTCCTTCGGGATAGACTGGTTGGATCTCCTTGCAGTCCGAGGGACTCTCAAGAGTCTTCTCCAACACTACGATTTGAAAGCATCAATTCTTCAACACTCCCTTCTTGATGGTCCAGCTCTCACATCTGTACATGACTACTGGAAAGGCTATAGATTTGTCTAAGGGATAAGGGAGGGATTCTCTGTGGCAGGCCAGGGTGAGCAGACCTCGCCCGGGGGACAGTGGAGGGTGAAGGACTGGTGAGAGACGGAGGTGAGACTGTGATTAGATTGGGCGGATGGGGAATTCTGGCTGAACTGACTTAGCAGGATTTTTACTAAAATCGGAAAATGCAGAGAGGAACATGAAAACCCAAAAGTCAGGCCTAATTTAAAGAAGCTCAGGGGAGCCTGATGAAAGTCTGGCCTTGGAGAGAATCTGTCAGCACAACTTTAAAAGTCCGGGCTCAGTTCTGTTCCAGGGTTCACATGGTTTCCTCTTGGTTAAATTTCCTCCCTCCCGCTAATCTCCTCTACTTTCCGTTATTCTGCTTTGCTCTTGGGCAGTGTCGTTTTCAAGCAGCTTTGCGCTGGTGGCAGCAAGTGTTGCTCTGTCCCCAGAGCTTGTGTGCTTTCATGGCTGCTTGCTCTGTGTGACGCTCCCTCAGGAGTGCCCCCGAGGGGAGACGCAGTTCAGTTCAGTCCAGTCGCTCAGTCGTGTCCGGCTCTTTGTGACCCCATGGACTACAGCACGCCAGGCCTCCCTGTCCATCCACAACTCCTGGAGCTTGCCCAGACTCACGTCCATTGAGTCAGTGATGCCATCCACCCATCTCATCCTCTGTGGTCCCCTTCTCCTCCCGCCTTCAGTCTTTCCCAGCATCAGGGTCTTTTCAGATGAGTCAGTTCTTCACATCAGGCGGCCAGAGTATTGGAGTTTCATCTTCAGCATCAGTCCTTCCAATGAACACTCAGGACTGATTTCCTTTAGGATGGACTGGTTGGATGTCCTTGCAGTCCAAGGGACTCTTAAGAGTCTTCTCCAACACTACAGTTCAAAACCATCAGTTCTTTGGCACTCAGCTTTCTTTATAGTCCAGCTCTCACATTCATACATGACTACTGGAGAAACCATAGCCTCGACTAGATGGACCTTTGTTGGCAAAGTAATGTCTACTTTTTAATATGCTGTCTAGGTTGGTCATAACTTTTCTTCTAGGGAGTAAGCGTCTTTCAATTTCATGGCAGCAATTAGCATCTGCAGTGATTTTGGAGCCCCAAAAAATAAAGTCAGCCACTGTTTCCCTTGTTTTCCCATCTATTTGCCACGAAGTGATGGGACCAGATGTCATGACCTTAGTTTTCTGACTCGTATGTGAAACTCCTAGTTTCCAGGGAGATGTCAGCACCCAGGCTCACAGGGGAGATGCCACAACTTTGTCAGGTTTCAGAACAGGCTTCCCAGGAGGCTCAATGGTAAAGCATCTGCTTGTCAGTGCAGGAGATGCAAGACATGCAGGTTTGATCAGGAAGATCCCCTGGAGAAGGAAAGGGGAACCCACTCCAGTATTCTTGCCTGGAAAATTCCACGGACGTAGGAGCCTGGCAGGCTACAGTGCATAGAGTTGCAAAGAGTCATGACTGGGCGACTGAACACACACACACAGGAGTGGAAGGCCTAGGGGAGGGCCGTTCCTGGGTTTCTGCAGGAAAGACAAAGCTGGGCAGATTAAACAGTGTGGTCTGGCTGGTGCGAGTCCGTTCCGCGGGCTTTGGGCTGCAGGGGTGGTTCTGGTTCCTTGGCACCTGGCCCAGGGTGAATTAGGCAGAGGCATGCTGCTCCTTCCTGGGATGTGTGGCTCTGGTCTGGTTCACAGGGCAAAGCAGTGGTCTAGCCTGGCCCTTTGCTCTAAGGATAAGCCAGCCCAGGGAGGCGCCTCTCCCCCCCGGCAGAAAGGTTTTGTCAGGTGTTGAAAACTGAGGGCAAAAAGTCAAAATATAATATATAGAAAATTTAAAAAGTATATAAAGAATACACTGCTTTATATTATTTTCCTATTCAGATCTTGATATATTTTTGTGTAAGAATGGAGGCGAGAGTAACAAGGGAAGTGTTAGGGGAAGCACACGACTGAAACCGCCCACCCTGGCCAGGCCCCACAGTGACCATTCGCATGAGCTGTTTCACGACAGGAGGTCCGGTGAGGAGCAGGGAACTAATAAGCCACCAGCAGCCCCAAGAGTTCGGGAAGGGTCAAAAGGAGACACCGCATGTCCGACCACCTCCCAGAACCCTCTCTGGCCCCCATGTTGGCTGAGCGACGCGCGCACCACCAGGAAGGACTCTGAGTCAGAATGACTGGTGGAGCACAAGCCAGAAACTCACCCCATCACCAGAAACCCCGAGCCTGCGAGCCACGTGGCAGAGCCGTCCTCCTGGGCTCCCTCACCCTCCCGCTCTCCACCCGGGCGCCCTTTCCCAATGAAGTCTCTTGCTTTGTCAGCACGCGCCTCCTCAGACAAGTCGTTTCTGGGTGTTGGACAGGAGCCCAGTTCCGGGCCCTGG